GGAGGTCCAAACCGTCTCTCTGCAGCTCTATTTCCATGCTATTTTGCATAACTGATTACATTCAGTCACAAGTGAAACTGCCGATAGACTGTCTCTGCAAACAGACTTCCTCCAATCACAAGCCTTATGTAACTGATGTCAGCTGATGGTGAACAAACCAATTGGAGGAAGTCTGTTTGCAGAGACAAGCTATCGGCAATTTCACTTGTGACTGAATGTAATCAGTTATGCAAAAAAGCATGGAAATAGAGCTGCAGAGAGATGGTTTGGACCTCCTCCCACCGAATGTATCAGGTAAATATTACCTAATTACTAAATAAAAGTGTGTTCTGCACTATCTTTAAAATATTGGGTTGGAAAAGTGGGGGTCGTCTTACATGGGGGCGTCTTGTTGATGGAAAATACAGTGTGTGTGTGTGTATATGTGTGTGTGTGTGTGTGTATATATATATATATATAAATAAAAATACTGAAATAATATTTCTCCTCACGAAGACTTTAGAAAAACCTTTTTTTCTCCTTGAAGACTGGCAGTTATGGTCCCAATCCTGTCTCATCAGCAAGAAGATGAAATTTTCAGATTACAGATAGTTTAAAACAAATTCTGTTCCCAAGGTCTGTCCTTAAGTCAAATTTGTACGTAAGCCGGAACATTATTGTATAGTGCTGTATAAGTAGTATTATGTAATTAACTTGAACCACTGTGTATTTAACTTGAATTGTGTATTTAACTTGAATTTTGCTATAACAGGCTCTGTTCTTAACCATGGGTCATCCTTAAACTGGATGTTCTTAACCTGGGGACCACCTGTAACTCTAAATCTTTTCATTTTTTAATAATTAGAAGCATGAAAGAGAATAAATTAAGCTGGAAGAACTGTTTCATATGAGAGCAGAAGCTTCATAAAAGATATTGTGTATTGTGTATTATGACTTCTCTGTGAGATTCCCCTTCCCTCCCCCAATATTATCAAACCTGAATTCAGGATTCATTTTGCCATACAATCTCCATTTTTTAAATAATTAGAACATGGCAGCTATTTGGCACAATGTCCCATGTATGATCTATGATTTCACACTATTTGACAGCTTGAGTCTCAGTTTTTAACATTTCTTTCTTTAAAAGGTAAGTTTGAAAGTATGTAGGAATCCAAAGGGGGAGAGGGATCACCAGTATTTTTTCCAACCAAAGGACACAGCTTCAGTTACTTGCATTACTCAGCAGAGATTTATAACCATATTAGCACAACATGCTGTATCTAGATTACTGGTGCCCAGGAATATCATACAGATGCTCCACTTACATAAGCTTGCCTCACATTAGTTCAATTTTACACAAGCCTTTGAACACACCCAAGCAATGGTGGCAGCGTTCCCTGTCCCGGGAGTGACATTAGGATTGCGTGCCCAAAAGTGGAGCACAGGGAATGTAGCAAGGAGATCAGGGACAGCCAAAGGGGCATCACCCCTCCTTTATTGCCTGCCTGGCTTTGCTGTGCACACTGCTTCCAGCAAGCTGGCCATAGCCTGCACCAGGTGGGCTTGGCCCAGAACAGGAATGAAAATATCATCACTTACCATGTTTTTACACAGGGTTTGGGGGACAGCTGATTCAGTTCCAGGTTATGGGAAAAAAGGGTTACTCAAGACTTTCAGAGTGGACTGGTTACGTAAGTAAGTGCCTACATATTTTCTCTGTTACCTATGTTTCATAATACATTAATTCATGAGGGATGATTCCCCACTGTCACACCCTTAACCGTCATTTATTTCCACATTTCCTGCCCTCATTTCCTTTCCCTGTCCAATAAAAAACTGAAAAACCAGGGTGTTTTTTTATAATCTCAATTTTAGTCCTACATACATTATTAAAGGGCATGGAAAAACTGATCTGATTTGCACAAAGTAGTCTGGGTGAGCAACAGGTGACAGAACCTAGCTGACCTTGGTTATCTCAAAACAAAAAAAAAAACTTTAGCAGGGTTGGGCCTTGTTTACACTTGAATGAAAGACTATCAGGAAATCTCAATGCTGAAGGCTAGCCTGGGAAGTGGGAAAAAATTATGCAAGAAAGCAGTTGTACACCACTTCTGTTCTCTTGTCAAGAAAACAACACGAATGAGTCTAGGTGTTTACTAAGAGTCAAGTTTGCTTTAACCTTTGCTTTGTATAATGCACAATACAGAATGTAACTGGTTTATGTGGTACATAGCATTACAGTATAATTTATGATGGAAGCCTTCAGTAAGGTGGCAACCCTCTTCCTTCAGAGTCATAGACACTTCTGACATTATGCAGAAAATGAAAACCACACCCATGTTTTTGGTAATGAAACCAGCCATGCATACCTTTCCTCGTGCCACAGCTTTGTAGGCAATGCGAATGATGAAACAGGACCAGATGATATGTAATACTTGCACAACTAAGAGAAGGCCATTAAATAGCCACCAGGATGGGTAGGGGCCAACTATTTCCCAGCTTTCAAACAGGGTAGTATTCAGTATCCTGCAAGTCAAACAAGGGAAATGGTTGCATTCATTGTTTTATTCTGATCTATAACAAGACCCAAAATTCTAGACTGGAAACAGGGTAACTAAATCACAGAAAACTTCTCCCCCATTACATTTTTTCCTACAAAGAATGAAAATGTCTCAAATCTCTGAAATCTGAGCAGGTGTCCGTGAAGATTTCCTTTCCACTCGGTTTTTCCTCACAATGATTTGACTGACCAAACAGCTGAAATGCTTACCAATTCCTTAGCTGTCAACAGTGAAAATGATCTGTTTTGTTTCTTTTAAATGATTTTCTGGCTTCGGGAAGACATATGTCTCACAGAATTGGAAAATATGTGATTGACCTATAGTAGTTTTGCACAGCAGAAAAAATATCTGCTGCCTGGACAGACTTCAGAAAGAGAAAGTTGACAAGAAAGCTAACAAAGTCAGATTACTTTTGTCGATGGAGCTCGTGAGACCTGGCAGCTCCTCTCCCACTGGTCTTCATTAACTATGTTTGCCTTGTGATTCTCAGAGGAGGGACCTCCCTGCCAGGAGAGGGAAAAATTAGCCCACTGTTTGCAATCTAACAAATGCCATACGGCATTGCAAAGTAGATACCAAAGGAACAGCAGAGCCACTTCTCAGTGTAATTTGAGAGAAATGGACTCCACCAGGAAACCAGGCGATTAAAATAAGGGCAGTGGAAACTGCATTAAAAATTCACTGCTTTCCTACCATGCAGTAATGGTTTGCTAAGCGATATAGCAAATAATATGGCCTAATCATAAAGACTGGGGCCCAAAGTAAAAAGATGCGCTTATCTGCAAATACCAGAGTTCCAAGAAAATTATCAAAGCAACAGTATCTCAATGCACTCCTTCCTAGACTGAGGGAGAAACTTATCCTCGTAAATGAATATTCAAGACATATTTCTCCTCAAACTGGAATGTAACTATCTTGGGCACGGAGCAGCTCTCCAAGGATTCAGTGCATGTTTCTTGCCTGAGGAGTTCTCCTCTATCCTGACCTAAATAGGTGGCAGGAATATTCGTATGTTTGCCGCCTTGAGGATAAAAATCTAATAATAATGATATAACAACAGTAACAGCAGCAGCAGCAGCAACAGCAACTGCATGAAATTTGATAACTTCCTATATCAGCACTACTGTTGAGTAGAAAATATTATGATGCAATTAAGACTATTACTAAGACCAAGGACAAAAGCACAAATTCACTTTATAAAATCTGGTGAAAACATGTGCACTTTGGCTAACATTCTAGCTATAATCCACAGTATAAAGTCCACCAGATCAATAACTGACACATTAAGGAAATTGTCAGATCTGCCTCATGGGGTCTTCTAAGAACCTATGGATTCTATACCCATTGATAAATCATTAAGGATTTAATTACAGTGGAACCTCAGGTTATGAACTTAATTCATTCTGTGACTCTGGTCGCACCCCGAATTGGTCGCAACCCGAAGCAAATT